AGCTCTTCAGAATGAAATGAGACATTTATAAAAAGGCAAGTTGTCATTGGTAGCCATGGATTCAGTGGAAAACAGAGTCTGTGTCTCTCAAGCATACACAGCCACATCGCACAAGTGTTTCTATTTAGAAGGGACAGTCCCTATTTTAGGTCCAAATTCCTCTGTCCCACTTTTATTCCTAATGTTTCTCTTTTTTTGTTAGTGTGTCTGAGTGTGTAACAGAGCTCCATGTCGATTATACTCACTGTAATGTATCTTTAAACTACAATATATGTGTTTAGAAATAAATCTGTTTAAATGTCATATATTGTTCTTGTTTTAAATTACATTTTAGTAAGTTATTAGTAAGTCACCTAAATCAGAACAGCCCTGACTTGGGCCACACCTTACTGTGCAGCTTATACGGATGGATGTTCTAAGGATTATATAATGACACTCCTTGAAACTCCAACATCCTTCAAATCTTTATACTGTTTTTAGTTTTGTTAAATAAATCGTGACACGGTGTAATATGTCATGTGTTGTTGTTCATTTGAGGTTGCATTTACCGAATTTTAAGACTTGCTAAGGAACATACAATTGTTATGTCCTGGTATGTAAAACCATAGAATTCAAAGACGGTGTACTTTCTTTTTCTCAAATAAATGTTGCATGATCCATGTGAAAATGACCATCCACACCTGTGAGTTTTACGTAAAATACCTAGCTGAAGCATTACATATGAGGTTAAGCTACATGAAGCGCTCACAAGTTCCCCCCTTTTTTTTATAACTGGACATTTGTGCTATAGAGGTGATGTGCACTGAATGTATGTTTGTTTGTTTGTTTGTTTTTATCACACTATTCATTTTTAAATTCATCAAATGAAGGAAACGGGGGTGAAAAATCCAGATCAGAGATTTTCGAGATGCTTAAACCAACATGTCCGGCATCAATAATTATACCATTGTCAATATTGCTTGGATCATGTCTATTCCCAAATAGAGAGAGCTATATCTGACAACAAGACTGTTTCCAAACCCTACATATGCTGTAGGCTTAGTTTGATGTTGGTTCTTGCTTCACCCCTATCATTGCAAGCCGGAAGGCATGCTTTAAGGAAGAGATACTTGACAAAAAGAAGCAGGATGGCTCATATTTGATGATCTCCTCAATAAAGTTAGTTGAAGACTGCATTCTACAGATCAGCTATATCTGGCCATTCTCAGTGTTTTTTATTCTCATCTGATCGGTTGTTGGGTAAATATTTTTCAACGGGTGCCACTCTGTTACCTGTTTCCATGAGATGAAAAACAATGTGGATATATGCTTAAGCAATTGCTCAGTGATACCAACTAGTATTTGGACAAAGGCAAGCTTCAACTGGGAAAAAATATTCAACACACTTTTTTTAAACTTCATCAGTGGCTTTTAAACATCATATTTTCTTTCCTAAATGACCTTCTACTTTCAAACTATTATAGACATGTAGTCAATATGTTCATGTCACACTTTGAGATGGCTTGTGGCACACCACTGTGCCATGGCTCACTGGCTAAAACCACTGCGGTATTTGAATGGATTGTGCTAACTCTACACTGAGGCTGGAGAAAATCATGTTGAATCTCCTCTCATTTTTACAGTGATGATGGGTTTACATTTTGATATATATACTAATAGTAATGACTAAAAATTATATTAAAACCAATTTAACTTTTGAAGCTAAACTTTCATGAACATTTATACTTAGTGCATTCACCCAATGTGTGTAACACAAAAGTTCACTTTTTTTTGGTTTCTGCTATGTGAAGCAAGTCTTTGTTCAACTCAAAAATTATTTCAGTATGCACCAAAAAAAAAAATCAAATACAAATCTGTATGTATTGGGGACCATTTAAAAATTCAATGTCCAATAATGTAACAGGCACATCACATATGTGTATGTGTAACTGTCTGCATGTAACTGTCTGTGTGTGTGTGTGTATGTGTAACTGTCTGCATGTAACTGTCTGTGTGTGTGTGTGTGTGTGTAACTGTCTGCCTGTAACTGTGTGTGTGTATGTAACTGTCTGCCTGTAACTGTGTGTGGATAACTGTATTTGTGTGTGTGCAACTGTCTGCCTGTAACTGTGTCTGTGTGTGTAACTGTGTGTGTGTAACTGTCTGTAACTGTGTGTGTGTAGCTGTTTGTGTGTGTGTGTGTGTGTGTGTAACTGTCTGTATGTGTGTGTGTGTGTGTGTGTGTGTGTAACTGTCTGCCTGTAACTCTGTGTGTGTAACTGTCTGCCTGAAACTGTGTGTATGTGTGTGTGGGACTGCATGCCTGCAACTGTAGATGACTGCCTGTGACTGTGTGTACCTGTCTGAATGTGACTGTATGTGTGTGACTGTCTGACTGTGAATGTGTATGTGTGTGTGATTGTCTGTCTGTAACTGTGTGCATGCGACTGCCTGTGACTGTGTGATGCTGCCTGTAACTGTGTGTGTGGCTGTAACTATGTGTATGACTGTCTGCCTGTGACCGTGTGTGTGACTGTATATGTGACTGTCTGCCTGTAACAGTGTGCGTGACTGTGTGTTACTGCTTGTAACCGACTGTGTGTGTGTGTGTGTGTGTAACTCTCTACCTGTAACTGTGTGTATGACTGCCTGTGACTATATGTGTGACTGTCTGCATGTGACTGTGTGCGTTTGACTGTCTGCTTGTAACTGTGTGTGACTGCCTGTAACTGTGTGTGAGAGGGTGCAGGGATTTTGTAGAAGGGGGCAGGGGTATTAAAAAGTTTACAGATTTGTGCAATACATTTTAAAAAATGTAAAAAAAAAAAAGAACACTTTTTAAAAAATGTAGTAGGTGGGTTTTTTTTGGTTGGGGGGGATGTCAAACCCAGGACCGGCCCCGGGCACCACATGCTCTAGGTGCGCCCATGTCCCCACCAGAATGGTATCCAAATAAAAACCCAAAAATGTCCAGCACTCTTTATAATACAAATGATATCCCTTTAAATGCAACCCAAAGCAGCAACATTACCACTGCGTGTCTTCAAGATACAGAGACCCAGACGAACCATTGCTGCTTGGGTTGCCAATAGAGGGATAGCATTTTTATCATAAGGCTTTCTGGACATGTTTTTGTTTTTATTAAAATATCTCAGACATATATGAAAGCTTTATCAACATGGAAATATTAAGACTAAGCCTCATCAGCATGGAAACAGTGACCACACCCTGCCAAGTGTTTCCATGCAGAAAAAAGCAACAATTGTTAAAGAAACTAAAAGCTGTATTCCTAACACCCCTTGCTCCACCCCCCACCCCTGGATCCCTGTTGTTTACTTATATGGTTCCAGCGCTTATATCCTTCTGAGCTGGTCGGGCTCCTCCACCACCAATGTCAGCCGATGGGTGGAACCTAATGACTCAATGTTTTCCTATGGGGTTTTTCAACACACTGGACCTCCTCATGCAAACGCTGTGAAACTCTTGGCAGCACCTCTAGTGGCTGTCTGCTAGACATTGCAGGGTTCAGGGTACAGGACTTCAAATAGAGTATTCTAGTTGCCTATAGTGTCCTTTTAATGCTATCTAAACCTTAAAATATTGAAAGGTATGGAATTATGATTATATGGAGGTTTATGGAAACTATAATGGAGGTATCATCTGCATATCACCCCACATTGCCCCTTGTGCAGAGCATAAATTCCCTGGAATATCCTTGCATAGCAACAGGTGTGTTCAGTGATGGGAATCAGCTATGCTTATTATGGTTTTTTTGGTGGTAAAGCCCTAAAAGACCGGTAAACTTGGTTTATCAAGCAAGAAGCAGGCATTTTCCTGCTTGACAAAAACAGACTCTCAATCAGGCCAAAAATCCATGTTCTAGTGTTCTGCTGTATCAAGTGTTTGGTTTTCCAGATCTTAAAGATTAAACATTTCTGTTCCTCTTAGAAATTCTTTTTACCATTAGTCTTCTGATTCTATGGCAGGGAAAGAATCAAAAAAGGAGAACCACCATTGGTAGGATCCATGTTATACCACTTTATTAAAGATAAAAAGTATGCTTATTAGAATATCGGCATCATATCATAAAACACCGCTAGGAGTGGTTCTTTTCCAGCACCCACTGAGAAGCTGGCCTGCTAAAATTCTCTGCAATCGAGATATACAGCTGGCATTCTCCACTGTCTGTTTGAAACAAGACATCTCTGTAGTGTACATGAACAAAGTCCTACAGCTTCTTAGCTGTCAGAGAAGTATTAAGGTCTCACAGAGCCCTAGGAAGGTGGCACCCCTCCTTCATTATTCACATAAGGATTGTAAAAGTCTATGAGAGACCTGAACTGAGTGGTCACAGGTATATCCAATACATTTTTATTCCTAACTTAGCTATGGGTAGAATATACATCTTTAAAGGGGCACATTAGGCACCAAAACCTCTACATCTAACTGTAGTCGTTTTGGTGCACTGAACCAGCCCATGCAGTCTGACAAATTTAAACATATGTCCTGTAGTACTCCGATGCTTCTCTTCTTCTTGGCCTGAGGTCATCACCTCTGATAATCTCACAGAAGACAGAGTGGCTTCTGCAGTAGTATTCTATCTTTTTTTTTACATTTCAAAATGGGGGAGTCTGAATCTAATTGTTTAAAAAGAACACTCTAACATAGTGGTTCCCAAAAGTCCTCACGACCCAGCAACAGTCCAGGTTTTGTCAGTATCTCCAGTGGAATAAAAAAGTCAAAACTACATACATTCTGAATTGTTGGTGGGCAATAAGGACTGGTTTGGGAATCACTTCTCTAATATTATGAATACATATATTTATTCATAACTTTAGCGTTTTCCTTTAAAGACACGGATTAGTGTGGCGAGATAGCATGAGCACAGGATGTTTCTGTGCACTTTGTTAAAAGAATGCTGCTAAAAATGACAAAAACCTGACAATCTTTGTTCTTGTGCATTTTAGGAAGTGGCATGAATTCATTTTAAGGAAGTTTTAGAGTTTCTGTGCATGACAAAAGCCTCACTTTGTTGGCAATGCCAAACTAAAAGAAGAAGCATCGGTTGTTCTTATGTGTGTTTAGGACATTGCATTGCTGTTATTCATAAACCAAGCTTGCCAACATCCATGAATCTGCAATTTTTTTTAAAACAGATTTTATTTACGCAGTTATTGCTCCCATTGTACCTTTTGAGTGGCATGGTACCTTTCATTAGTTACAGCACGTTGCCAACTGTACGTAATTTTTTTAGATGCCAACCTCTGTCTCACTGTAGATGCACATCAATGTGGTGTCATTTTTGATGGTGGATGCTCTGTACCTGTGTTATTCAGTTTTATACACTCTCAAACCTGCATCAAAATAAGGACGCATGACAACGTACTTGGACGTATTGGGCACACAGAAATTATGCAGAATATCTTGTTGTGGTTCGTTCTTGGTCCAAACATTATCTTGCTTCTAAGCGCAGCCTTCCTAAAAAACAGGATTAGGACAGTTTTGTTTTGGACATTGCATGTTGGGTTATATATAAGTAATTGCAAATGAAGGAAAGTTTACAATTAAATAACCAGTCTAAAACTGACATAACACAAGTCCTCATTCGATCTCCACTTGGACCCATTTGATGGCATAGATTCTATGCAGAATACATTTTTGGCTTATTTATAATAAACACATATGTATGTAGTAAACCCTAAGAAAAAAAAGATCTGTATAACTTGATCACCTGCTACCATCTAACTAGATATAGATCCTCGAAATTACAAAGAAATCAAATATATCATATAATGTCAAGGTACTACCCCAAAACACAAGCAATAGGCAACATATACAGTACTTAAATATAAACAGCACTCATTACTGGATCTTAGCGTGGCAGGGATTAATATAAGGTGAATAGAGATATATCCTAATAGAAAATAAGAGGAAAAAAGCTAGAAACAGGGTAAGGTCAAGGATGGGAGAACGTATGAGAATCAAGTACACAAAGCCAAGTTCAGGGATTCCAGAGAAAGAATAGTTGAAAAACAGAGCCAAGTAAAAACCAGAAACACACTGAATACTATAATGCACTCTTGGGCTATTAATACCACCACAGAGCAACTAAGTGATGTCAGAGAAGTTCCAGTATGTCATGATTGGTTGGGGAACAGCTGGGATGTGATTACAATAATTGGAGTACTGTGTTTTGCCCACAAATGTTTTTGGCTATATTATATCTTTAAATAGGTTGAAACCAAAGTGTTCCATGTCATAGTTACTTCCTATGTTAATGTGCATACCCCCTATTGTGCAAGTGCATACAGCATCGGCCGAATGCTAAAAATCAGCCGATCAAGATTCGGAGCCGGCTGAACGAAGCGGAGCAAGCGCTGCAACAGCGAGGGCTGAGCGGAAGTATGAAAATGGGTCCTATAAAATGTATATTTTTCAGTGCAATATACATAGTTACATAGTTACATAGGCTGAAAAGAGACATGTGTCCGTCACGTTCAGCCTTCCTCACATTTGTTTTTTGCTGTTGATCCAAAAGAAGGCAAAACAAAACCAACCAGTTTGAAGCACTTCCAATTTTGCAACAAACTAGGAAACAAATTCCCTCTTGACCCCTGAATGACATTAAGATTCATCCTTGGATCAAGAAGTCTTTACCCTACATTGAAAAATTATACCTTTGAATATTCTTGCAAGTATGCATCTAGTTGCTGTTTAAACATCTGTATGGACTCTGATAAAACATCATGGTCAGGCAGAGAATTTCATATCTTTATTCTTCTTACAGAAAAAAAAACCTTTCCTTTGCCTTCGACTAAATCTTCTTTCTTCCAGACTAAACGCATGGCCTCGTGTCCTATGTAAAGTCCGGTTTGTGAATAGATTTCCACACAATGGTTTGTATTGGCCCCCAATATATTTGTATAATGTTATCATATTCCCTCTGAGAATAACCTTTTTTCATAGCTAAAACGTTACATTCCTTTTATTCATTTTGTAGCCTCTGCACTCTCTCTAGTACCATAATATCCTTCTTTAGAACAGGTGCCCAAAATTGCAGCATATTCAAAATGTGGTCTTACCAGCAAATTATATTCTCATCCCGAGAATGAATGCCCTTTTTCATGCATGACAATACCTTGCTGGCCTTAGCCACTGCTGATTGACATTGCACATGGTTGCATAGTTTATTGTCAATGACAATCAGTGCCACCACCAGAAATGTTGGGGCCCCTAACTCAGCTCAGGGTCTAGGGGCCCCCTGGGGCCTGCCTCCAATCCTGCCCACAGGGTCCACCTCCAAATCCCGCCCACAGGAATACACTCACAGACACAAACACACACACTGATACAAAAGGACACAGATACATACTAACAGACACACATACACGCATATAGGCATACATACTGACGCACACATACTGAGACATACACACATATACAGACACACAGGCATACATAGTGACAGACAGACACATACTAACATACATACAGACACACATTCATGAGGACACACAGACACATACATACATACACACTGACATACATACAGACACCGACATACATTCATAATGACATACAGACATACATACATACATTCATACTGACAGACATACATACATACATTCATACTGGCATACATGCATATATACAGACATACTGACATAAATGCATACTGACATCCTTACACACATACACACAGACATACATTCATACTGACATACAGACATACAGACATGCAGACATACATTGATACTGGCATATATACAGACATATATTCATAATGACATACATACATACAGATACACAGACATACATATATACTGACAGACATATATACACTCATACATGCATACATATATACATACATACAGACATATGTACATACATACTGACAGATATATACATACATACTGACAGACATACATGCATACAGACACACAGACATACATACATATGTACATATATACTGACAGACATACATACATACATACTGACAGACATACAGACACACAGACATACATATATACATACATACATACATACAGACAGACATAGCGACATATATACATCCTGACAGATATGCATACATTCATCCATGCATACAGACATACACACACACACAGAGCTCATCTTTCAGCTTACCTTTTCTTTGCAGGAGGTTGACTGAGGCTGATGTGAGTTGGCACGGCTCTCCCTCTTCACTGGCTCTCCTCCCGCGCGGAGTGAGCTGGGAGGAAGTGACCACTTCCTCCCAGCAGCACGTGCATTGCGGCTGCGTTTTTTTTTTTATGGGGCCTGTTCGCGCTATTACGCGGCCACAGCACTGACCGGGCCTCTGAAGATGTAGGGCCCATCAGGTGGCCCTTAGTGCATGGGCCACCCAATGGGCCCCATCAGCGTGCGGGCCCCATTGCAATTGCACCGGCGGCAGTTCCGCCACTGCACATGGGGCCTGGGCGGCGTCCTTCTCGTGTGTGGTTATCTCTAATTTGCTTCCATTAAGGGTATAAGTTGCTTGTGCATTCTTGACGCCGAAGTGCATTTTTCTAAATTAAATTTACTCATGTAAAAAAAAAAAAAAATCATTATCATTCAAGATAAATTTGGCTCAACAATGTATATGTAATGAAGTGTAACGGTAAGTGAATTGGATGTAGCTAAGGACCCCTGCTCATTTAAAAAAATAAAAATAAAAATAGGGTGTTTACTTGGATTACGGGCAAGCCCCAACAAATTTCGATGTGTGTGTTTGATGTTTTTTGTTGTTTTTTTGCATTTGCCTTTCTGTGTTTCTCCATGTGCAGCTTTGGAGAATTGCAGTTTGCCAAGCTACATTGCAGCAATGAGAACGTTTATTCTATAAATGCTGGATCAGTTGAGAACGATTGGTGAAGGGTTGGGGCTTATAAAATTATCTGAGGTTCTGGAGGTTAGAACTGACTAAAACAGGTGGAGAGGTTTGACATACTTTTTATTTTCACGCACCAAGCTAAAAAAAGTGTTTCAAATTAAATCATCATATTTGTTTTTCTGCCAAATAGGTTTTTTTGTGTTAAATATGTTTATTGGTTCCATAACATATTCCAATGCAAACGTATTATTTTTAATGCGAGTTAGTGCCTGCGCAGAGGCCTGATTATCTGTGTATGAATGGATTCACAAGTTGTTGCCTGCGCAGAGGCTCTTCATTCATAACAGTTGTTGTATAGCATGCAATATAGTATCATATTCAAGCATGGTCTCTCTAGGTGCCAGTAGGCAGTAATAAGATAAGTGAGTAAATTAAGGCTGATAAATTAAGAATTAACGTTAATAAACAGAACAATATGAAAGCAATATCTTGTGCAATCTGTATATTATAAACAGCGTAGTTAACACATTATAGCATGCCGTTGTCTTTTGGCTAAATTAAGACTTAGTTGTTTGTCCTATAACAGCGCTTAAACAGTTACGGTGCAGGCTTGCAACAATAAAAAAGGCTAACAGTTAAGAATTTGCGTCCGGGTACATATTAGTAGAGGAGCAGGCTGGTAGTAACCCTTTGGGTGTCGCCCTAGAGTCGTCTAAATATGATGTGCATTAAAGAAGTTACATTCTGAGAGTCGGGAGCTAAATGTTCCATCTAATTATTGTGTGCGTCTCCGTATGTGGTCTGGGCTTTAGAGTGCAGTTGGTCAGGGTCTATTTGCGTGTTGATTTAACCAGACAGTAACATTTAGCATTGTGTAGTATAGACATGTGTGCCTACAGTATCTCCTGGCATGTAGGTAGACACAGGCCCTAACGTCCGCGGTCAGCTGCCGTGAGGGTAATATAGAACGTATCTACTTTATTAAAGATTTATATGCGGAGACCATTAGCTCGCTTCTAAGGCCCGCTGAGACCGAATATCCTTACATACTTATTCAGTTGTGGGCTTAGTTGTGTACATATGTGTAGTCGTTATGTTACGTATCAGTCTGGTATGTGCGGTACCTATTGGTGTAGTGTGTATGCTGTATCGTGAAGCTAGGGTCCTGGGCATGGGTCTGGGTATCATATCCTGTTACATTTCAGTTGTTAATCAAGCCCTAATAAACAGCGTTAGACTTATGCCCTCCAGGGCTCTTTAGCCTGGGATGTCGTCTTGTGTGGCAGTCCCAGGGCTCCCATGCCTCCGCTACAGCACAGTCCCAGAGTCGTCGAACCTCCTTCCATCTTCTCCCCACCAACTCCGGTCTGCTGGCTGTGTCCTCCACCGTGCCGTGGGCA